TTTAATTGATCATTTCCCAAATTGATACTGTAGTCTTAAGCCTGTATAATGATAAATAAAAAGTTTGATGCAGATCCATTTAGCCAGTTCAATAGTATAAATCATACCTGTTTATAGTGCCCCCTATTATTGGATCAAGCTGAAATTCAACATATACACTTAAATTGACCTTAGGTACTGTTGGTATGAACAGCTTTGAGAAAAGTCAAAACCTTTCAAAGTTATACTAATAAAACTTTTTTTATTTAAACAATTTTATTTTAAAAAGTCATGTTTCATAAAATAATTAAAATATCAAAAATCTGTCCACATTGTTTGGTCAGCCACTACTCCCGTCTTGTCAGGCAAAGTTTTGACTTGATTGGGTTTGACGGCCGGGAGGAGTTAACGAAAGTACGTTTTTTATGCAAATTTCTGTTAATAAGCATAAGTTTAAAACATTTTTCAAAACACTCATTTAAATTTGACTGACTCAGTGGACACACCGGATGAGATAATTTGTTTTTTTACTGAAGAAATGTGGAGAAAATTGCCCAAAATAATTTTTTGGGTATGACAGCGCCACCTATTGGACAAAATTCAAATTTTTCTCTGTGATTGTAGATGACACTATTACGAATATGAACTGCAACTTTCTGTTTAGAATATTTATTTTTCATGAGTTAAAGGGCAAATTTTTTTAAAGCCTATAAGCCACGCCCACTTTTTTAAAATAAATTCAAAATATAGCTTAAGGGTCCAAAAATAAACATTTGTGCCAAGTCCAGTAGAAATCCATCAAGCCGTTTCGCTGAAACAAACTTTATGACGGTTGAAGGCCCTCTAATGGTGAATAAAAACAAAATTGAGTAGATGTGACTTACAGCTCATACTTTGTAAAGTCTCATCATCTAAACATAAAATATGGTGGAGATATCATCAATTAGAACATGTGCTAGCTAGCGCACTGAATTTGACATGGTGTCATTTACGCAACTTTCAATATTTCTGCAAAGTTCTTCATGACAATTACTTATCTTCATTGATAGATCATACAGTATATCCCAAATTTGAAGTTGATTCGACTAAAAATGACAAATTGGTGATACAAACTAGATTTTGTGTTTTTTGTGATTTTGCAAAAAATGTAGTTAGGCGGAAATGGGCGTGGCCAATACAAAAAAGATGCAGAATGATCCAAGGATCAAGAACATTAAAAAGTTATTGAAGGTAAGGCCTATGGTTTGGGAGTTATTAGCTAAAACGTATCGACCTTCACAAAAGCGCCACCTAGTGTTTTCTGGGTATGAATTTTTGAATCTGAGTAGCGGTCAGGATTTTCTATCAGACTGCCATGTTAGATTTTTCCTGGCATTTTCTGGCTCTTGCGCCTATGTGGAATTAGCGGAGAAGAATAATGCCGGAAAAGTAATGAAAAATCCGTACAAAAACATTTGGGTTCCCTGCCTGTTGGGCTTGGAAGCGAAATAAAGTTTTAAGTATCAGGCGTGACATTAAAAGCAGAAGCTTTGATGCTCCACCTGAGAGTAAATCTGTAAGGTTTGTCACCAGCATTCAGACATTAATTCTGTTTGCTTCACAGTCAGACAGGACACGGATAAAATAAATAAACAATTAAATAGCTATATATATATATATATATATATATATATATATATATATATATATATATATATATATATATATATATATATATATATATATATATATGAGTAATGCAAATATGGTGGCCAGGTCATGCATGAAGCACTTAGACGTTTTTGTGAGCTGCTTAAAACTAAAGAGTTATTGATAGATTTTATATGCACCTGCTATAGGAATGGATTGTCACCTCTTTAGAAAAGTAAAAAATGGAAAAAAAAAATACCTCCAGTCTCCTACAAGTCACATCAGGTCATGCAGGTGTTTCTTTCTTTCATGAATCCTTCCATTGCCTTTTTTTGTTTGTTTGTTTGTTTATTGATCATTTAAAGAAAAAAATTAAGAAAAATGCAACACAATTCCTGATGGTCTGGACTCAAGTATCATCAAATAACAATCGTATAGATAGATAGATAGATAGATAGAAGATAGATGATGATAGATAGATAGATAGATAGATAGATAGATAGATAGATAGATAGATAGATAGATAGATAGATAGATAGATAGATAGATAGATAGATAGATAGATAGATAGATAGATAGATAGATAGATAGATAGATAGATAGATAGATAGATGATAGATAGATAGATAGATAGATAGATAGATAGATAGATAGATAGATAGATAGATAGATAGATAGATAGATAGATAGATAGATAGATAGATAGATAGATAGATAGATAATATCAGAGCATCCCTAGTTTTTACTGTAAAAAGACCAAAAAGTTATAATGTACATGGATAAGATATGTACTGATGATCATCTGTGGCAGAGAAACCTTCAGATTTTACTTACAGATTTAAATTTGTGTCTTTAAATTTAATGTTTGACTTGTGCTCTAAAACTTCAGTTTACACAAGATTTGAGATATCTTAGTCCAAAGGAGGAGAGTAGTTTGGCAACATTCTGTAGAAACAGCTGGCAGGAACCAGGTACAACCCATGATGCAGCCGAGACTGGCCCGTGACGATCTTGACGAATACACACCGACGTAGCCGTATTACCCCTGTCCTGGCACATCTTCATTGGCTCCCTGTCATTTTCAGAGTACAGTTTAAGTTGTTGACTTTTGTATTTAAATAACTCAACGACCTGGCACCTCCCTATCTCTCTGACCTGCTCACTCGCTATGTACCCACGCGCACGCTGAGGTCAGCTGACCTTTTTGCTGCTGTGTACGCCACGGATGCGATACAAATCACGGGGTGAGCGAGCATTTGTCCATGCTGACCCAAAGCTGTGGAACTCGTTGCTCATTGGAGTTCAGCGGGCTCCATCTCTGGCGGTTTTTAAATCTCGTTTAAAGACCCACTTTTGCGATTTGGCTTTTAGACAATGACTCGTTTTATTGTGTCATTGTTTTAATGTGTTCTTAGTATTCATCATGTTTTATCTGCTTTGACTGGTATTTTTATCTTCTGTTTTAGTTCCTTAGAATGGTCGCGTTTTGTTTTAGCCTGTGCAGCACTCTGGCCAGCTCCCATGCTGCGTTTTAAACGTGCAATATAAATAAACTATGGTATGGTATGGATCTGAAACTTCCATTAAACACCCGCCCTCCTGGATTTAATTTGCTCTTTGACTTTAAAAAAAAAGGTTTTCTTAAGATTATAATTGTCTTTTTTAACATAGATGTGACAAACTTCAAAGGTGTGATCTAAAAAATAATAAAATAAAATAAAGACTCACGTCAGCACATATAAATCTGCTATCTTTTAATTATTGGTACCCTGACACATGATGGAATATGTAGAATTTTACACACACACACACACACACACACACACACACACACACACACACAGGGGTCTGACAAGTGGAGTCTGGGGAGCGACTGGAATCAATTTCCAAATTGCTCGCTGATCTCATCTCATTAAAACTACTAAATTAAAGTTCTCCTGCATGCTTAACTTTCAATAATTAACCCCCTTGCTTTTCTCTGTCAGTGAATGAATAGATAATGGTGTGTGATATAACATTTTCAACCTGTTGTTGCCGCCACCCAGCAGCTGTACAGTCGGCTGTGTTGTCGGAGTGCGGTGATTCTTCAAACCCGCTGCACCCACATGCAGTCACATGGCTGAGTTAACTTGGCAGACTGTCATCAGAATACTGTAATGGGACTCAAACCAGCCTAACACACACACACACACACACACACACACACACACACACACACACACACGGGGTGACTGACAGCACTCGAAAAGGAGATGGAGACAAACCTAACGTCTGAAAAAAGGCATGAATGAAGAGTGTGATCTTTTCTACGATGCTCGTTAGATCTGCTGTAGTCTCACAGCAAAACCCTCAATGAGTGAGCTTTTAAAAAAGCAAGACAATAATTATTATCTAGTGAGCACAAAACAAAAATCCCACTAAGCATCAGAACCAGAGGCTCATCCATCAAAGTCACCCGCGGCTTGTTAAAGCTCTGTTTCTCCGCCTTCTGGATGAAAGGTTCTGGTAAACATCCTCCTAGGACAGGTGCATTCTGCTTTTCACTTAAAGCGATTTTATTTTTCCTCACATTGACTCGTCGTTTTGGTGGTGTGTAGCCTTCCCAAATGAAAACGCCCTTGTTTACCACCTCTGCAGCTCAATATAATTTTTATGGAGCCAGAAAATCTTTATCTGCTTGAAAACAAGAGAAATGATGAAGAAAGTATATTTTTCTCACGAAATACTTAAAGCTGTTGTGGTTTTTGTGGTTTTGAGACTTTAATCCTCTTTTTAGCTTTTTTTGTGATGCGCCAGCGTCTCTTGGTGCTGAAATGATCTGTGCATAAAATGCATTTGGAATAGCTGATTCATGTAAGAAACCTCACACATCTGCTGACAATGTGGTCACCTCTTTTGTCAGATTTGTCCTTTTATCTATGCGTTTTATGATTTTTGTTTGGTTTTGCACGGTGGCAGAGCAGCAGGAAGGTTGCAGATTCAAATCTGCATATTTTGAGCACGTTGTCCTCGTGCAGACCAAACACATGCACGTTAGGTTAAAACCAAAAAAGGTTCCTGTGGATTAAAGTGAATAATCTAAATGAGTAAACATAAATGATGTCTATTAAATCTGTTTTAACATTTAAATGAACAAAACTCCCAGTGAGTTTTTGGTTATTGCTGTTTCCTTGGCCTAGACACTGTAAGCATGCTGTTGGGGGTTTCTGTACAAATATAAATTAAGACTTCCACAAGCAGCAAAACTAATTAGCAAACCTTAGAAAGCAGGTTTGCCTTCATTCCTCTCAAAGCTCTAAGAGCACTTTTGTCTTTTATGTCTTCCACAATGCCGGCTGGTGCCCGTGTCTATTTATAACCCACTTTTGTTTTTGTTTGGTTTGGTTTTGTAGGTGTTTGGGGGCCATTGAGGTGATGCAGGTCCCCCTGTTATCCCAGTGGAGGAGCCAGCTAATGACAGGCGTATTGGTCTGCTGAACGCCCCCACCCCCCCACCACCTCCACTGCCCTTCATCCCTCCCTCCCCTCATCGCTGATGGCTCTATGGGGCATCATCAGCCTCAGCCTTCATTGCTGGGTGTGTTTACGATCCGGTGCAACAGCAACAGCAGCGGCGTCCAGCCTACCTAATGACAGACCGGGGGGACCTCTGGACTGGCTCCTTTCAGATAAGGGACCATTCCACCACTCCCCAGAGTACATCGACTTCGTGGAGAAGAACCGACAAGGCTTCTCCACCAGATACAAGATCTACAGGTGGGTTATGATAGAGAGGCACTTTACTGTGTATTTACACTTTCAAATCATCTCTCCATCTCCATGAGAGACTTGGAAAGCTCCTACAATTGCACAAATTGATCGATAGTTTAAAAACACATTTTGTGACTGCCACAAAACGACTCACTTTGTGAGACACTTTACTGATAGAGGGTGAATGTTGTTTCCTGGAATATCAAACAGTTTCCACAGCTTCTGTCTGATCTAATGCTTAACTGTTTGCATCAACAGCTTCTGAAACTAAGCAGCATTACTATAATAACTCATCTTGCATGACTGTGAATTCCTACACCTGAAAATAAATCTGCATTAGATGTTTTTTTTGCAGAGGCTTGTTATGTCACTTTAATTTTCATACAAAAGTCATTAGAGGACCAAAACATAGTACATTTTAAATCTGTTGCTATGTAAACACTATAAATGCAAAAAAAATTCAAAATTTTAGATATTTCATAACATAATCAAGACTGATTTGCACTAAACACCCCAGGTGAAAAAAAATTCTTTTTTAGAAAATAACTCAGTTTTTGTGTGTTTTTTCCATAAATTACAGCATTGACTTTGAGTATGCAAACTGGCATTTCAAGGGTTAAAAGCCTCAAAATGATTGACATTTTTACATGTTTGAACAGGGCTGAAGTTGTTCAACAGATCTTTGAAAAAAAAAGCAAAAAAAAAAATTCATGTATACATTTTTTATAACCACTTTTTACAAGCGGACGTTTTTGCCCTCTAAAGCAGTGGTTCCCAACCTTTTTCCCAAGGGACCCCTTTTTTACCAGTAAAATTTTTGACGACCCCCTCCCATTCTCTCTTCCAGTACAAACAGTATTAAGAAATGATAAAATTGTTCAAGCACATTTTAATATGATTTGATTCAATAGATAACAGTAATAGTAGGCTCCAGTACAGAACAAAGTCATTAACAAAACCAAACAGAGCATAATGTGCTTGACAGTTTGTATTACTTTTCTGAACACATTGTTTCTTGTAAACACTGATAAATCAATCATTCCTTACAATAAACGTTTGACACATAAAAATACACTGAGCAAAATGTACTTAAATGTGTATATTACTGTTTATACTAGATTATTTACTGTAAAGGCTGTGATTAATCAACCAGTCCTATCTTTAATGAACTTTTGACACTTGAAAATAAAACAGTGAGCTGAGCAAAATGTTCTTTAAAGTGTGTTACTCTTTCTGTACTAATTATTTCCTGTCTTAATATCAGTAAACTTTTCATCATGAAAAAAAAGTGAGCAAAATGTAGGCTATAAACAAGTAATAAATGAAGTTTTAACCCCTTAAAGTGGAGAGGTCCGGGCGACCCACTGAGAGGCTTTGGCGCCCCCATGTGGGGGTCGGGACCCCCAGATTAGGAACCACTGCTCAAGTCTCAAGAGTAGTGTTTTTTTCTTTCATAGTGTTCCCTTGGTCTATTTCAAAAATTCCAAATTGAATTTCAAAATTTGTCCAGAGAGAGGTTTTGCGACTAAATTTGGTTCCACGTGCACAAACGGTGGTGAAAGGGCGTCAAAAAGAAAAACAAAAAACTGTCCAAATGGACAAAAATGTCCCTAATGAAGCCTGAGGGTTAAGCCATGTGAACACAGCAAGATCGGGATGATGATAGGTGACCCGTTCCTTCCCTCACACCAATCTAAAGCTGGGGTGGGGAACCGTGGTCCTCGAGAGGCGAAACCTGCATCTGTTAGTCCTTTCTCTGTTTCAACACTCCTGAATCAGTGGTTTAATCGCCTGTTCAGCAGCTCATCAGGCACTGCGTGAGCCTGTTAATCGCCTGCTGATTAAAACCAGGTGAGCTGAAGCAGGGAAACAGCAAAATATGCAGGAGAGGAGTCCTCGAGGAAAAGGATTCTCAAAGAGCAAGTCACCCCCTGCCAGAATCTTGCTCCACTCACACTTACTGTTTGAAAAATGCAAAAAATAACAAATACACACACACACACACACACACACACACACACACACACACACACACACACACAAGACATTGTGACCTCATAATATACCAGCTGACATCATAGTGTACTTCTTATCCTATAGCAATGGCAAGTTAAATTTAAATGCAATGCAGAGTTTTTACCTGACAACTGTGCAAAAATGACAGTTTTAGGCGGAATATTTAAATTTTAACTAAGATGCACTAAAGTGCCAAATTATTGACTGCATGTGTCTACAGCATGGTTAGACACTTATTAATATAGTTTCATCAGCAAAAAAGAAGTGGATTTGGGGGTGACTTGCTCTTTAAGGATCTGAAGGTTGCATATGACTACCGTAATGGCTCTAAAGATAATCTTATCAGATAATCTTACCTTTTGTGGTATGTTTCAAGTGCTCTGGTCTGTCCTGGGGGACATCAGAGCCGCTCTGATCATAAATTCGGGCGTTCCAACATGCTGGATTGTCTTTTGCTTATTTTCAGGGACAACCAAACATGCTACCTGTTAAATGTAACTTGTGGCCAATCAGAAAGCGAGGTGATGGAAGCATACAGCAGACTCCTCCTCTGCTATGTTTGAGCTAGACTCTGAGCTGCTGCCTAATACACACAATAGGACCAAAACTGGTCCATCAGTGATTTTTATCACCACACGTGTGGTCTCTCATGTTTTGAAAATCAATCTAATCTAATCTCTGTTTTCACATCTAACCGATTAACTTGTGTAAGCCATTCCATTTAAGACCGCAACCACAGATAACCAACCTTAACTACTGCCAGAAAAAAACAGATCGTGAGATTATTATTATCTAGATTTGTCAAAAAAGGCCATAACTTCATCATATCTCAGTTTAAAATGAATTATGTTAATAACTCCGAATCTGAGGTATTTTTTCCCTTTCACTCCCTTTCTTTTTCTCCGTATTTAAGTCACACGTGATTGGTTAACTCTTCGATGAGCCCTTTGCTCGGAGGAGCGGGGGACAGGAATTGGTGCATGGTGTAAACTCACAGAGCCAACATGAGTTGAATCAGGAAATGAAGCCAGATTTGGACACATTTTACCAATATTGACCATTCAAAGGAAGAGTGTGGACTACGGAAAGCAAACTGTGGGGTGACGGTGGCACAGGAGTTAAGTGCTCGGCCTGTAATTGGAAGGTTGCAGGTTTGAGCCCTGCTCAGTTTTATTGGCCAAAAGCCGCTTAACTTGATCGAGTGACGATCCTTTTGGCTTGGGTCACCAGGAGGACACGCCGATTCTTGAATTTTTGCAGTTAAAATTCTGCTGTTGAATTTTTGAAGATAACATTTTTGCTGCTGTATTTTATAGATGTGGAACACTCCTTTGAACAATACATTTGCATTGGTCTCTAGTAGGAATGAATGCCTTGTAAGTCATACTCAGATGCTTCTGTTTCAGGAAGTACAAGTCAGCTGGAGGAGAAAATAGCTTCAGACGACAGGATTTGGAGTCTTATTTCCTGATATTTGGACATCTGGCCTCTGATTGGACAACAGAAACATGACTCGTTACAAGCTGACTCGTAACGTTTTTGTTTTATCTTCACAAATAACATAAGCCTGGAGGAGTTCCGCTGTGTGGTGAAGTTGCTAATGCTACTGGTAGCTTCTACTAGCTGAGACATTCTCTGCTGTTTCCTGGACGCTAAACCAACAACAGCCTTCCCCGTCGGGAGTCAAGATGGATGAGTCCATGAATGATAAATGACAGTGTGACATAGATCTGTCAGGCTTTTCTGATCCTAGAGATTCACCGTCTGTTTTCTATCAGAAGCTAATGCAGGAGATAGGTGTAGGAGACTATTTTCATGCTCAGCCTGCATGAAAAACTGTGTGAGTGACCACTTTGAATCAGAAAAAATCACTAAAAGATGTTTTTTCAGTGAGCCACACCTTTAAGTTGGCGACTTGGGGCAACGGTGGCACAGGAGTTAAGTGCTCGCCCCGTAATCGGAAGGTTGCAGGTTCGAGTCCCGCTCAGACTTTCGCTGTCATTGTGCCCTTGGGCAAGACACGTAACCCACGTTGCCTGCTGGTGGTGGTCGGAGGGACCGGTGGAGCCAGTGCTCGGCAGCCTCACCTCTGTCAGTGCGCCCCAGGGCAGCTGTGGCTACATCGTAGCTCATCCCCACCAGTGTGTGAATGGGTGAATGACTGATTGTGTTGTAAAGCGCCTTGAGGGGTTCCAGGACTCTAGAAGGTGCTATATCAAATATCAAATACAGACCATTTAAGTTAAAACAATTTAAATAGATAATAATTTCACAGAATAAAAGTTCATTGTCTAAAAAAAGTCTATCTTACGAAAATGACACAAGGATAAAACTCTGATTTAACACAGGCTGTATGTTTGACAGGCTGATTTTGGCTTGTGTTGTTCCTCACAACCAGGGTTCACACAATCTGGCACACCCAGACAGAATCATGAAGCATTACGTGCACGTCTGTTGCTATATCGCACTCTGCTGGCCCCCAAAGCCTCCGGGACTCACCTGGTCACGTGGTCCAATGACATATGTTGATTAGTGCTGTAAAAGAAAAGATTTGTCATGACAGCAATGCAGTATGAGGAATCGGAACGCGAATGCATCAGTGGAGATAGTGTCATGAATCATATCCATCGTCACTAAGGAGGATGTTGTCCGGGCTTCTGGAAATGGATAGACAAGGTTCTTGACATCTATGGATCGTTGCAAGGTTGCTTTATAGCTTTGGTGATCAGTAGCCGTGTTAGAGCTTTTTAATATTTCCTTCTCTGGCAAACTGCAGTGGTCTGTTGGAGCCGAGTTGCATGGGCGGCAAGATTAATAGTCTTATCATGTGGCCAAGTGATTAGTGAGCTCTTAGTACTTATTACTCTGCATTATCACAGAATCCCCTGAGAGGTTTCTGTCAGCTGCAAGGTTGTGTTTGAAGCCCTCTAGATTACCACAATGCGGCACTGATTAATAGTGTTGATATTAAAAGGAAAAACTAACCTAAA